CCTCTGCACCACGCCCCGAGGCGGGAAAGCGAAAGGAGAGGGCAGGATTGGGAAGATAAACCCCAACCCAACCGGCCAAACCAACCACAGTACGTGGCCAGCGCTGCCCTTTCGCCGGCTCGCCTCCCCCAGCGTTACGGCGAAACTCGGTGAACTTCGCCCACTCCACACCGACGGCGACACAGAATCACAGCACGGTCCGGGGTGGGGAGGGGGAACCCTAAAGACCACCCAGTTCCCACCCCCCTGCCACGGCAGGGACACCTCCCACCAGAGCAGGTTGCTCCCAGCCCCATCCAGCCCGGCCCTGAGCACTGCCAGCGAGGGGGCAGCTCTGGGCAGCCTGTGCCAGGGCCTCACCAACCTCGTCATAAAAAATTTCTTCCTTATATCCAACCTAAACCCAGCCCCTTGCAGTTTAAAACCGTTACCCCTTGTCCTGCCACTGCACTTCCTCATCAAAAGTGTGTCCCCCCCCCCACCTTCCCTGCAGCCCCCCTTAAGCACCGGCAGGCTGCTCTAAGGTCTCCCCGGAGCTTTCTCTGCTCCAGGCTGAACCACCCCAACCCTCCCAGCCTGCCCTCACAGCTGCTCCAGCTCCCGAGCATCTTCGTGGCCTCCTCTAGACCCACTTAAGCAGGTCCGTGTCTTTCTTGTGCTGGGGGCCCCTGAGCTGGAGGCAGCCCTGCAGGGGGGGTCTCACAAGGGCAGAGGGGCAGAATCCCCTCCCTCGCCCTGCTGCCCCGCTGCTCTGGGTGCAGCCCAGGAGGCGATTTGCTCTCTGGCTCTGAGCGCACGCTGCTGGCTCATGCCCAGCTTTCCATCCCCCAGCACCCCCAAGTCCTTCTCCGCAGGGCGGCGCTCGACCCGCTCATCCCCCAGCCTGTGTCTGTGCGTGGGATTGCCCCGACCCAGGGGCAGGACCTCGCCCTTGGCCTCGTTGGACCTCAGGAGGTTCGCACGGGCCCACCTCTCCAGCCTGCCCAGGTCCCTCTGGATGGCCTCCCTTCCCTTGACAGCACTGCCCAGCTTGGTGGCATCGCCAAACTTGCCGAGGGTGCACTCGATGCCGCTGCCCATGTCGCCGATGAAGATGTTAAACAGCGCTGTGCCAGTACTGACCCCTGAGGAACGCCACTCAGCATGGGCCTCCACTCGGACATGGAGCCACTGAGCACAACTCTCTGAGTGGGACCATTCAGACAATTCCTTATCCACCAAGTGGTCCGTCCAGCAAATCTACGTCTCCCCAATTTACAGACCAGGATGTCATGTGGAACGGTGTCAAACGCTTTGCACAAGTCTATGAAAAACAGGAAAAGTCCAAACTGTTTTCCACCTCATGGAGGTGCTCCGTGGCTCTGTTACCTAGAGACATCACAAGGCACAGAGGAAAAGCAGTTGGCTACGAGTGAAGCCAGTGAGGAGTCAGGACGGGGCTCCCTGTACCCTCAGCTCTCCTCAGCCCCGAGCGGCACCTTCCACCCCTCCAAATCAGCAGCAGGGGCGGCAGCGGCAGAGTATTCGTGGCTTCATCACTGACATCAGCTCGCCCGCGCCTCAGCTTCCTCCTCTGCGAGCTGGTACAAGGGCAGTCGGTGCCTCCGTTTGGGGAGCTTTATCCCCTGGCTAAAGCATATCGAAACGCTGCAGGGGAGTCCCAGGGCTGAGACTCAGAGCCACCACCAACAGGGGGCAGGTACAGGGCCCGGCGTCATCTGGGCTGCGGTGAAGCGAAGGCTGAGGGCGGCCCTGGAGCGAGGGGGCCAGGAGGACCAGGAGCCCGTTGCCTGCGGAGGGGCTCGCAGCCGGTGCGGGTCGCCCCTGGATCTGCGATGTTCTAAAGGGGTGACGTCATAATATCAGACAGACGTTGCAGGGGCAAGGTCAAAGCCCTGTAAGCGCCTCAGGGAGAAGGACCCTCCACCGCCTCTGGCTTCAGTATGGGCGACAGCTTGGTGCCGGCCGGCTGCTCCCCTGCACGGACGGAGGGCAATGCGAATCCTAACACCGTCTACAACCAGCTGCGGCTGGAAGATGAGCTCTGCGACGTCACCATCAGCGTGGACGGCGTGGAGCTCAGGGCTCACAAGATCATCCTCTGTGGCTGCAGCCACTATTTCAGGTCAGTGCTTGAAACAAGAGGGGACGGGGACAACCAGTATTTTCACCGCCTTCGCCTGCCTCCAGTGCCCACCGCGGCACTGACGCTCCCATCCCGCAGTTCCCTGTAGTCCTGGCACCTCCCTGGCACCAGAATGAATCCACCACCCAGCATCTGACAGCAGCTCTGGAAGCGGTGTCTGATGAACCCCCAGACGCGGTGCAGGGCTGGGAGCGTGGCCAGAGCTCCCGTGGGGCGGGAGGTTCTCCCTCCCCACACCCCACTATTCTCTGCTATTCTTGTTGAAGCCAGGTGGCTCTCTGGCCACGGTCAGAGGCTGTGACTCCTTTTTGAAACACCCAGGCAGTAAAACCTGACTTAACAAACTACGTGGCCTCCCAGCGTGGCTACTGCTGGTGCCCAAATTGGTGCCCGGGGAAGAAGGCGCAGGGGATATCAGGCTCCGGGTTTATGGCAGCAAAGCTGGTTTTTCCACCAGCACTCCTTTGGTTTTTTTCAGGTCCTTGTTTAGCAGCCAGTGGAGCGAGGTAGAGCAGAGAGTGTACAAAATCACCAGCACTTCACCTGAAGCGATGAGGCTCATCATTGAGTACGCGTACACCAGGAGAGTGCCCGTCACAGCTGCCAACGTCCAAAGTTTGCTGGTCGCCGCCGACCAGTTCAACGTCATGAGCATCACTGAGCTTTGCTGCGAGTTCTTAAAATCCCAGCTGTGCTCGGAAAACTGCATCAGGACCTGGGCACTCACGGATACTTACTACTACCCCGACCTGCGACAAGCAGCCTACATGTTCATTCTCCATCACTTTGAGGAGGTGACCAAGGTGTCTGCAGAGTTCGTAGAGCTCTCTGTCAACAGCCTAAAGGACATGATTGAGAAGGACGAGCTCAACGTGAAACGAGAAGACACCGTGTGCGAGGCTGTTCTCCAGTGGATTGCCCACGACGCGCAGAACAGGAGGCAGCACGTTGCAGACCTGATGGGCAAGGTCAGTGCTGTCACGGCGCGGGCTCGGGGGGCTCTGCAGCGGGGGCAGCCAAGCCAGAGACACTTCGCTTTTCTTCCAAGACCAGAGGAAACTGCAGCCTCCCAACCCTGCTCACAAAGCAGTGAGCTTCCAGAGCGTTAGGCCACCATGACACCAGGGCAGGGGTCGAAGACCCTGCGCTGGGGTTGGGGCAGACCTTTTAAGTGCACGTTTCCTCCTCAGAACTTTGGTTGAACCATTCCTCATACCCGGGAAGGGCCACAGCTCATGTGGGATGACGTTACCTCCTCCTACACGAAGCTGACGAGCATCAGCCTCACAAGCTGTACCACGCGCACGGCAGCAGGCGTTAGGGTCGCTTCGGCCTGCGCACCGGCAAGCACCGTGCCGAAGCAGCGGCAGCCTCCCCGACGTGAAATCGAGTGTTTACCCTTGCACACCCCTTTCTGGACTAGCTAAAAACGACACATTGAACTCTCTGCTTCTCTAACAAGCGTCAGACAACACGGCAGCCCAAAAGCAAAGCCACCCGGCACTGGAGCTACCCGTGAGGGGCACCAAGGCGCAAATCATCCGTATTAATATTCTCATCTCCTTTTTGCATCTTTCAGGTTCGACTGGCGCTAACGCAAGCGGAATACTTAATGAACATCAAAGCGCACGATTACGTGCACGACAACGAGGAGTGCAAAGCTCTCCTCGTGGACGCGCAGACAGAAATGTACCGCCTCAACAGGCACGGCCCGTCTCACTCCGATTTCACCAACCCGCTCAGTCGGCCTCGCCTGCCCTACACCATCCTGTTTGCCATCGGCGGCTGGAGCGGGGAGAACCCAACCAACGCCATTGAGACCTACGACGCCCGCGCAGACCAGTGGGTGAACGTCCCCTGCGAGGAAGAAGGTCCCTTTGCCTATCACGGCACTGCTCACTTACAAGGCTTCATCTACGTCATCGGAGGGTTTGACGGCGTGGAATATTTCAGCAGCGTCAAGCGGTTTGACCCGCTTCGGAAGACATGGCGGGAGGTTGCACCCATGCACTCGCGGCGCTGCTTCATCAGCATCGCCGTTCTCAACGACCACATCTACGCCATAGGGGGGTTTGACGGAGAACTGCGCCTCGGCACAGCGGAACGATACGAGCCAGCGACGAACCAGTGGACGCTGATCGCCCCCATGCACGAGCAGAGGAGCGACGCTAGCGCGACCACGCTGCACGAAAAGGTAAAAGCGGCCCGTGAGGCTGTTGAAAGCCGTTCGGGTTGGAGTGTGGTGGGTAGGACAGGGAACCAGCCGCGCACCAGAGCGCGGCATTACACGCAGCAAGTGCCTGTCCTCTGGCGTACATCGAGGCAGGGACGTCACGCAGCTCAGCCTCTTCCTGGGCTACGTACCTCACAAACACTGCCACCGCTGCGAGCTCGTCGTCTACAGAGAGAAGGGGAGCTGTGGGAGCAGGAAAGGTAACAAACGCTCCTGTTAACATGATGAACCATTCAAAATAGAGAGGAAGAAAGTTCACGTAAACCTTATTCATTAAATCCTGGAGCTACAGATACAAAGCTCTCGAAGAGGCAGCGACCGAGTGGCGCAGCGGAGATGCAGGCAGGAGTGCCAAGACTCTTCCAGAGCTGCTCACCACCAACAGGACTTCTCCTGGCCGCAAGTGCAATACCATGCCTGTCTGCTTCATGCAGCTCAGGGGGGAACGGGTCTAAATCCTGCTGGCCCGGATCACTCGCTGCACTTTCACCGCTTCAAACCCAGGAGGACAGGACCATTCCCGCTAAAACCAAAACAAAACCCCAGCCACGCCTTTCATTTTCTCTTCAACGTGCTCTCCCACCAAGAGCATCACGGCCCTGCTCACACTTTTTTCTTCTCCTGTAAACAGGTGTATGTTTGTGGCGGGTTCAACGGAAACGAACGCTTGACCACAGCAGAAGTGTACGATGCAACAACCAACCAATGGACCTTTATCGCCCCGATGAGCAGCAGAAGAGGCGGAGTAGGGGTCATCGCGTATGGGGACGAAGTGTACGCGGTAAGGGGGACGGGGGACCTCGGCCACAACACCCCCAGTGCTCACTGTTCCTCACCTGCATTTCCCAGATTGTCAGGCCAGCCGTTTGCTCGTTAAGTGAGATTTGGGGAAGCAAGCCAGAGCCAGGATGGCCGAGAGGCCTCCCGAGCACATCAGCACCTGCGCACTTTTTGTTATGAAAGATGTACGGGCAATTTTTAAGCGGCTGCAGCAAAGAAAGGGTTTACTGTTGCTCCTAACGGCACCAGCAGCACAGAACATTTGCCTGATCCTATTTATCCTATCCACGTGCTGCTGTAGAAGTGTAAAATCTGACAGTTGCACAAAAGACCCGGGGAACCTCCAGAAAGAGGCAGGGAGCCGCCCGCGACAAGCGAGCGTTGTGTTTTGAGCTCACCGGCCCTCAGCCGGCGAGGCAGGACCAGTTGCCATCTTCCTCGCACCCAAAACGATCCGGCTGACGTGGCAGGCGAGGGAAGGCCCGTTCCAACTCTGTACCTTTGGCATCCACAGGTAGGAGGATGCGATGGAGTCAACCGGCTTCGGAGCGCGGAAGCTTATAACCCCATGACCAACACGTGGCGCGCCATCTCCACCATGTTCAGCCCTCGCAGCAACTTTGGCATCGCGGTGCTGGAGGACCTCTTGTTCGTGGCTGGCGGCTACAACGGCCTGACTACTACCTTCAACGTTGAGTGCTATGACAGAAACACCAACGAGTGGTACGACGTCTGTGACATGGGCATGCACCGCAGCGCCCTGAGCTGCTGTGTGGTGCCAGCTCTGTCTAACGTGCGGGATTACGTTCCCAGAAGGAACGGCCACACAGAGAGCTCTTCAAAGGACACTTAAGAGTCTCGTTCGCTTCTCCAAGAGACTTCACTTCTCCAACAAGTAGCCCACCTGTATGAGGAGCTCCTCTCAGCTAATAAAGTCCTTCGAGCAGCACGCAAATGTATTCACTTATTCTAAAATAAAAACAACCGATGCAGACCAAAACAAGTCAGCATTTAAAACTTACACAAAATGTGTCATGGAAGGAACTGGCCACAACCTCCACAGCAGCTTAAAAAATAAAAAGGTACAACAGAATGCTAGAGAAATAAAAGGGTTTATTTCATTAATTCACTTATTACAGTAAACTTTAGTACAGTGTATTTAAGGGAAAGAACACGACAGTGGGTTTGTTCCGAAGGGCCTATACACACACACACGACGTTACCTTACTGGAAGTGAGTACGGGTGCGCTGCTTCCCCAAGCAATCTGCTGCAGTCTACATTAATACCGACAGGAGAGCACAGCTGCCGTGATCCACAGTGACATGGACCTATGAGGAGTATCTGGCTATTAATGGTCTCCAAACATCTTGTTAGTTCCACACTTTACATTCATATTAGTAACAGGACTAGATCCTCAGGAGCACCTGTTTTATCAGACTTCCACTCGGGACTGTCAGACTAGAGATATGTTTTACATCCTACCAGAATGTGGACAGAGCTGAAAGAAACCTAAGCCATAAGCCACTTCTTTTAAGCTTGCTTTTTAAGCCCATTGCACATTACAACACACTATTACAAGGCTGTGTTAAAAAGAACCTAAAAAGCTGCAATTCTTTGTGACTCGGTTTGGCAGCAGCAGTCAGCCTGTGCCGTGACACCCAACTTGAGCCAATCGTTCTGATTTCAACATTTACTGTAATGGAGAAAAATGACATTGACCTAGTGCAGCAGAAAGCTTGGCACAGCTATTCGTAATGCATGCTAGAAAGCTGGCCCGTTTTCTTCATTTCTGGAGTGGGACCCCGCTGTGTGCAAGAGCCTCACTAAAAATACAAACCCAGCGCAGGAACAGAGTATTCGGGCAGTTACAGAGCACGGACACATGCGGCACCTGGGAATTACTACAGCGACTGTCCCGCGCTAGGCAGGAGGCGTCCTGCTCCGCCAGTGCTTCGAGCAGAGACGGGACGTGAAACATGCACGTTGTGGCAGGTGTTCAGCGCGGGTCAGGTACGGAGGTACGATCGCCGTGAGGAGGAGGAAAGACTCCACCTGATGTTTTCACACTAGGAAGGCCGGAAGTCAGCCTGCCGTTACTTACCGACACGCACCAAGACGTTACATTTAACTACCTGCCACAACACACTGAAAGAATCCCCAGGCTTTTGTTTACAGGGTCAGTTTATAAACAGCCAGCAAGCGACGGCAGCCAAGGGCCAAGGAGGGTGTTACGCGAGTCACAGGTTAGTGGGCTACGTTACAGCCAGTCAGGAACGTGATTCTTCCCAACACCACACGTGGTACAACGGAGAGTTAAGACTTGTCAGTTAAAAACCATGTGCAACCCAACTGGTCCACTTAAAGTCAAGGCTAAAAAAAAAAAAACCCCAACTATTTAAAAATTCCACAGAACTGGCATAGCAAAAGTTAGAGCAAACCAGTGCTGTTCCCAGTGCCCATCACTCCCCACGCACACAGAGCCCACGCAGCTACGGTGCATCGCGCCCAGCACACGGCTGGCGCTCACAAGTTGAGCTGTCAGACACCGAAGCCGCGCTGACACCGTCTTTGAGGGGAATGTCTTCAGCAAACTGGGCGGCCGTCCCTCAGCCAGAAGGTCTCACGGCAAGTGCAGGATCAATTTTACTTAGAAAAAGGCAGGCTGCAAGAAGTTTGTTCCTGCATCTAACTTCGCTGCATGCTGCCACCCATTAAACCGTTTGGTTCACGTGCCAACTGAAGGACCAGCCTTGGTACTTCTGCCTACAGCCTGCCCGCGTGTGCCGACGGGCTACGAGAGGGCTTTGGCAGAGCTGCGGTGGCCTGACACCCCACCGTCCTTCAACTGCTTGCTCAAGCCCTACAGCAAAGGCAGAGGGATGGAGGACGTGAAGTCTTCTCAGCTGCCTCTGCGCAAAGTCTGGTGAAGTATCTTGCCACCAGCTCCCACAAATTTAGGTTAAATCAATGGATTTAGTACTGAAGCCGTGAGGCATTTTCACAGCTCTCTTCACAACCCCTGCTGGAGGGGCCGTAATTCTTAAACCACCCCAGGCAAATCTGCCGGAGCTCACGGGCCGAACTCCACTGATTAACCCCTGCTCGCAGGCCCGCATGAGCCGGTCTGGTAACGGTCACTTCTGAACATCACCCTCAAACCTGAACAAGCGTACCTACCCCTCTCTTGCGCCAGGCCAGCACCGTACAATTCCATCTGCCCTCGTGTAACAATCCAACGGGCAAATCAAATCCAACACCGTTACCACACATCAGTATATTGAGACTCAACTGTTGAGACTGTCAAGGCTGGTTGGCGTTTTTTAAACAAGGCTAGGTTACAAAAAGACAAGTTATTGATATCAAAAGCGGCAAGTGAACTGCAAAGTGGAGCATTAAGGGACGTACACGTCAGAGAAACCTTTACACACCACGTGGTGAGAAGACTTACCCAGCGTTTCAGATATGATCTAGGCTGCCTGCTGAATTGGAAAATGAGAAGTATCAGCTCAGAAAGCTAAACAATTAAAAAACAAAAGAAAACAAAAAACCAAACTGTTTAGAAGTTCTTTTGCAAAGAAGTTGCCCACATCAAAACCACCAGCAAATCAGCACACGAACCAAGGTCAGTAAACAGATTCTCCAAGGTTTGTCTACACAAATTTGGGAACACCCTGGTTACTCCTCCCTTTCCCTTCCCTCAGGTCCTGAGTTAGGTTGCGTGTGATAACCTGGAACATTCAAATGAAGGGAAGGATGGGGAAGAAAGGAGGTAGGAAGGATGCACCGAATCTGCTAGGAACCTAAACCATCCTGGAGCTCTTTGGATCAGGGAGGAGGAGGAGTGTGAGCGGCCAGTTAACTGAGAGGCAGTGACAGTCGGAAGGAAACGCCTGCGCTGTTCCTCGGGAGTACTCGAGGCAAACCAGAGCCAGCCAGGGCGCTGCTTTACTAAAACCACCTCAAAACGCCAAAAGGGATTTAAATCAGTTTAAATCTTACCGCCACAGTACGGGGGGAAACTCAAATATTTAGAGACCAGGAAACCTCCACGATCTCCCTTGCAAAGGAACACCAAGGGCCGGTTGGTCAAGGAGCGCGGCACCGCCGTTTCTGAGGACAGCGCACCGAAGGCAAAGGGCTCTGATTGTCAACGACAGGCTGGAAACAGGCTCATGGGGGTTCTTCTAGTCGCGCTTTCGCTGGAATTAAGATGCGTGCAGAGGATCTGCAAGAGCTCAGGTTTCAATCTAGCACTGTGAAATAGTCTCAATCGCACAAATCCGCACTGATAGAAGCGAATTGTCAGCGCTGGTGGGGGGCTACTTCGCTGGTTTTCGCTCCTTTTATCGGCTGATTGTTGACCCAAGTTTCTAATGAAGCCGTCAAAGACAAGCTCAAAGCATCTTCAGATACACCTGAAAGAACCTACTGCCTCAAGTTCGCTGTTTTAGCAAGTGTCTCGTGTTCTATCAGTCATCCACTTATAAACAAACTCTGCAGCCTCTCTACAACATACAGATATAAAATACTTAATACGTATAGAAACATCCTGAAGTAATTTCATAAAGAAAGATTGTGCTTCTGTTTTCATGTATAACTATTGCACTTGCCTCCACCTTGGGAGAGCTAAGTACGCTAACACCAATTATATGTGAAGTTTAGTCACTGAGGAGGAGAGAATCAAAGGAATGTCAATATGTAAGTGCAAATAAAACAGGTGCTTTCAAGCACACACGAATGTAACCACTAAATTATTAAGACAGAGATCTTTGATTTTCAAAATACAACTGTTAGAGCCTAACTCTAAAGAAACCCTTGAAAACAAAGATCTGAAGAGAGAAGTAACAGACTTAATGTTCCCAGAGATATTTCACAGCCCGCTACAGGCTAGTTTTTCCCTGGGCACCATTAAGTAATACTGTTGGATTCATCGTTTCTCAATTCCCACCCACCCTCAACTTCTGAGCTTCTTCATTTTCAGTAAAGACAAGACGCTGGTTTTATGCATCAAATCCAATCAACACCCTCAGGTCTCATAAAGACATATCCAGCGTAACAGAAC